TGTCAACCAATTTACAACGACATCTACTCATATCTCCCATTTTGTCAATGAAATTTCACTACAATTTTGTCCAGTAACTTACTACATGAATAAACGTCTACCAAAAAAACAATTTGCCCTGCCCTGCCCTGCCCTGTGACGATCTCTGCTCCATCCTAGTTGACTTTTCAATTTTAAAGAGAACTAGTTGACTCTTCAATTTTAAAGGCAACTAGATTTTAGAGTCAACTCCGACATATCTTTCACGACGTCTTTGTGCGATTCATTGACTTGTTCACATGAAAATAGAAATTATCTAAAACAACAAAAGAATCAAAGAAATTCTTTGAGGAAGATTTTCTTCATTATTCAATCAGAGAGATCTTTATTAAATATGTTGCATAAAAAATGAAGATAACAAGACTATGACAGAATATCTCTGCTTACAATAAAATACACGAACACCACGCACTTCGTTTTTTTTCATTCAAAGTCATCAGTTTAATAATATTCTTCAATTCGGCACTTGTAGATTCTTGCATTCCATCAATTTTTATATTGATTGTTCCTTGAAGATTATTGATTTTATTATTGATTTCTTCCTTGTTCACATCCATTTTCTTTTCTATATCATGGTTTGAATACTTATTCTTGGCAATATTATTTAATGATTGTTGAATTTTACCAATTGATTTCAATTGATCATCTGTTTTAGCAAGAACAGAATTCAAATTAACTTGAATGCAGTTTTGTTGAATTTCGAGGGTTGAGATGCGTTCGGATAACAAGGCCATACTAGTCAATACTGATTGGCGCCATCCTTTCTCTGTGTCATTTACATGATAAAATAGTAGTCGACCAGTTTTAAACATCGTATTTAGGAAATGAAATTGACATTGTACATGATTTTCTTGAGCAATATTCGCATCGTTAAGCAGTTTAATAATATCTGTTTCGAGATTCATTGGCATAGAAAATCCCGCAAAACCGATGCAGGAGAGTGTTATACATGTTAATGTAGATATATTTCTATTAGTAATTTTTTCAAAATCATTTGATCGAATAGATTCAATCAATTCATGTAAATCAAGTGGAAAGATTTTCTTTGAAAGGAATCGATTACATTTTGTCAATCTCAATAAATGACGAGCAGTAAAAAATGCCAATAGTCTTTCTAACTGTAATAATTTGCCAATGACATTTTCCACTCTTAATGTACTTTCAAAAAGACAATACCTATGATGAATAATATTTGATTGTTCATTATTCCAGGATTGAGCATCATCGTCGATAGTAGCTGGTGATTGATCGGGAAAGATAGTATCAGTTAATTTGAAATCATTCGATAATACTTTATCAATATTTTTTTCTTTTTCTGTGTAAACAGGTACTTGACATTTGCCAATAATAAATAATTCGTTTTTCAGGGTTGATGGGATATTCAAGCTTAGTGTTTCATTAAAACGAAATCGAAAGAAGAGATCAGCTTCAAGTTGTTCAAATCGATTAGATGGATGTTGATCGATCATTAATAATTGTTTTGTACAGTTGAAAACCAACTTTGTTTCATCAGTATTTGATGAGAACCGACGAGATTGATGTTCCATCTTCGGCATTATGATTGATTGGCATATACTAGCAGTTGAATGAGAGAAAATAATTTCTCCAGTTATTTGTTCGAATAAATAAGGACTTGAAGAGCGTGGCATTTGCTTTTTCTCGATCTGAAACATGAAAATAATCAATTGAAATGTAGAAAATAATTAAATACAAATAGAAGAAAACCAATGAGATTCTTGACATGCACAAAGAGATAACTTTTTTTTTCATTTCTCGTTGAAATTTATTCTTCGTTCCAATTTCTATTTAATGTGAACAGCTACTGAAGTAACTAATTTCATGACACAATCAATCACTGGCAATATGAGATAATCTGATCTGAATTTGTAGAAAATACCACCATCATTGAAGATATAGTACGTATTCTGAGCTAACAAAGCACATTGAATAAGCGAAAGCGAAACAATATCAAATGCCCTATGATTGGTTCTTTATTTTTTAGTGGACCCGAAACAGTTTTGATACTAGTAGATAGAGAAAACAAATCTCTATCCAACTGTGTTCTTGGTTTTTGGAAAAAAAATAGGCATGTAAAAGAACCGAGGCCAGTAAAAGGATAGAGGGCGCTAACATCTTACAGTTCCCGTTGCTCGAGAACAGCAGAACGTCAAATACTATTGAATATCTCCTAATATTTCTCTCTTCACCTTAGTTTTATATTGATAATACAGCCGTAAGTCATTCTTTGCAGTCTAATTTACAAGTATGTTATACGCAAATATCACTTTCACGATATTAAGAAAATATTTTTTCTATCATGATACAAATTGCCAAAAAAGATTATTTGAGAAAAAATCGATCGAAAATGTTGATGAATTTTATAAATAAGAAAAAATTAAATACATGGCACTTTTGCCAAAAAATGATTACAAACAAAGTAAAGATAAGAGAAATTGACAGAAAAAAGACAATTGAAAAACCAACATAGACATTCGATATCGGCTTGTTCAATCACGAGGCTTTGTTTCTTCATAAGATTTTCTGAAACGAGGTGTTGATGTTGCTGGTGGCAAAGATGTTTTCTGAAAAAGCAGGGCTGTAGAATCTGCCGGAAACATGGAACATTTCCCCCCACGACAATTTTTTTTTCAAAAAATTTCCCCCACTATAAAATCCAATAATAAAACAAGGAACTCTTGTTTAAGACGTATATGTTAAAGAAAACAACAACTTGAAACATTGCAGACACACGTTAGAAAGAAAAGAATATTATTATACAGTGTCGTTTGGTTCAGGTAATCTTCCCACTTGTATCTTGCGCAAACGATTTAAAACAACTGAACCCGGAGAAACAAGCTTCCAAACTTGATATTGTTGACATTTTTTTATAAAATAACCACTGTTTTTGTTTGGTATGACTAAAATAATCATTAAGTGAACTTCTGATAAATAAATCAGCTGTACGCATTGGTGGTGCATTCCAATGTAACATGACTTCTTCATCTAATGAATCATACTGTAATGAACGGTTATTGTGTATGTGCCCTTTTAAAGTTGACGCTGCTGATTCACAAACTGCTTCGCTTCTAACTTTCAATATCATCAGGGAGTAAAAGTATAAAAAATCATGAATACCATCGGCTAGCTTTTTGTTGGTAAAAAAATGTTTTCATTACTTTCGATGTAATTATTTTTCCGTCAGTTGTCCAAATACCAAATGTATCTTTATCAACAATTTCAAATAAACATCTTCGTTTCCATTCCGCATATTGTTGTTGTATAGAAGTCACCTTTACTTGTATATCCGTTGAATTCAGTAGAGTAAAATCAATTAGTTTTTGTAAAGCTGATTGTCCATAATCTTCCAATGTTTGCTGACCAATCAATACAACTTGTTCGTATAAAGACGACACATCAAGACAGCTTTTCATTAACAAAAAAACGGATGGTGCATCTTCTAAACGTGTTTTAACTGCTTCAACTAATTCTTGACAAAACACAATTAATTTTTCTCGAACATGTACAGTTGGATCTTCTATATCATAATCACCTTGGCGTCTACTAATGGGACGCTCTTGAAATGTACAATTAATCAGACTCTGATAATGTTGCTGTATATACGATGTTGATGATGTTGCTGATATCAATTTTTCATCATCTGGGTGTGGGTGTGAGTGGTTGTGGGCATGCATGTGCAGCAAAAAAAGATATCCACATCCACACCCCCCCCCCCATTAAAATCACTTGATTGTAAGACATTTTAATCAGATATATGTAGAGCTTTAATATCTAATAGCATTGTTAATAGATTTCGAGAGACTTACAAGCTATCAAAAAAAAATGATGTTTTAGTATGAATTAAGATCATATAAAAGTAGTTTTGAAGCTGCTTAGTTTGATCCTGAATAAATAATCTGATTGTATCTTCATAAGAAATCTTGAAACGAAAATCTCACATTGATCTTGTTCGAGTGGACTAATATTCCATTTTATTTTTTTTTTGTTAATTTTATATATAAGAAAATTTTTGCAGTAATTTCAAAGCATTTAAAAATACTCTAAGATAAAGAAGAGAAAATTTCCTATAAATACATTTTCAAAATTGATTCTAATTCATGTATTTGAGCTTTGCATCAAACTCCGAAAACCTACTCTGATGAAGTCAGAGTCGATTTAAATTAAGTAATTCTAGAAAAAAAATTAAGAACAGAAAACATCTACACTATTAGATTACTACTTTTATCAATTTACTACAAAATATGAGGATATGATAGAAAGCTCGAATATGTGCCATTTTGTAGAGCGTGCTTTGCTCGGTTGCTTGATGTAATAAAAAAAAAACTTTTATTTTCATATTCTAGAATACTGAAAAATTAGGTTTAGGAATAAGCAGAAGAATTTATTTCTCCTCGATCATTGTTGGAGAGTCTTCTCTATTCAAATGAATTGTTTATATTCTTTTTGTGATCTATCTCTATGGAAAAAATCAAAATAAAATATGTAAGATCAAATTTTGATTTGACAAGACTTTATTCTTATCTTAATAAGTTTATCTAATATTATATTATTTCTTTCTAAATCGTATAAGCTTCTTTGTTTTGATCAGGTGCGAATCTAGCTAAATAAATTCAAAAGAAAAATTTTCACATATTATTTTCAGTAGAATTATCTTAAATCATTGTCACATTATTTATTTGGTTCTTATATCAATAGTGCTTTTCTTGTGCCTAAAATAAGAAAACAATTTTTAAATCAAACAATATCATAAGCCGTAAATATATACTAGTGGTGAATTAGTTTCTATTAATTATGGTACTTCAGTATATGCATTAACGTGATCAAATCTTCTAACGCGATCACTTGGTAATGTTGCAAATACTTATTCATAAATTAATGTATTCTTTTTTGTAATCTCGCGAAAGTAATTATAAAATTCATCTGATACTGCATCATTTACACTAACATTATTTGGATTGTCAAATTGAATGCCTAACTTCGTCCTAGATGAAATATTCAGTTCTAGCTAAACGAACTAGAAAAAAAGGAAATTCAACATACTCAAACAATCGTCTTCTTCAAGTACCACAGAATTTTCCACGACGAACTTTTTATCTGTTAAATACACTGTCTTCTTCTTCACGATCATTAATAACAACACAAAATTTACTGTCACGTTGACCAAGCAATGATCAATCATTTATATTAGCATTACCACAGATTACCATACAATTATCAATTATCTCATTTACCTGAAAGTAAATTTGTTTGATACTTCATTAATAATTAGTGATCGTGAGTTACTAAAAAGCTCATAAGTACATCATGAGCACGCATACCAAAAAAAACTAACACAATTGTCAGGTGGAACACCTAAAAAAGATAAAGAACTATTATCCGTTCCAGAAGTCAAGGCAGTCGGTTGTTTTTTGAATAACGTTTGGTGGGAACAAGATAGAGACCTGCGGTTTTCACTGTTTGATAGCCACGAGCCAGACACATATTTCCACAAGCAAAATCTTTTCTAAGGAAAATTTGAAGACCAATTTTTCAGGTGATCACTGAAAAACCACTCTGGATTTCTGGTAACTGTTATAGAAGTCTATAGATTTTCTTACACATTCGGAATCAGCTTTAAAAACTGAGCCGACCAATACATATTTTNATATGTGTCTGGCTCGTGGCTATCAAACAGTGAAAACCGCAGGTCTCTATCTTGTTCCCACCAAACGTTATTCAAAAAACAACCGACTGCCTTGACTTCTGGAACGGATAATAGTTAAAGTTGTTGTTGTTGATGATTAAATTTGATGAAGTTTTAAACGAACATCACAATAAATTTCTATTCCAAACAAACTGATATTATCAAAGGATTTTGACATGAATCAAATCAATTACGTGTATCGTTTAATTTTGTTAATGCTAATTTAATATTACGTTGATGTAATACACCATAAGCCATATCAAGTGATGATTGAACTTTATACTTAACTAGCATTGAATCGAATTCTTTCGCTTTAAAACGACTGGTAAAACTCATTCATTGTTCACTGATTAATTTATCAACAATCTAAATTTCAATTGACAAATATTTGATAAAAATTAAATATTTTTCTTACATCTAAAAATAATCATCGATTCGTAACAATGTCATCCCAAGTAGATATTGAACTTGGAATAACATCAGGTAATTTCCATTGTCATAAGAAATCTTTTTGCATTCGTTCAAGAAATAAATCTCGAGTGATAAGAGCATCTTGATTATTTGTTAAATAATGATTTTCAAGAATTTTTAATAAAGATAAATTCTGTTCAATAAAAACAAGAAATTGATCAAGTTCATAATATGGTTGAATTAGTTGAATGGTTGTTCTGCGACCATATTCATTTAGACGAATTAATTGAGATCAATGAAGGAAAAATTGATCTTCGGCATATTGAATATAATATTTCGAACCTAAGAAAAAAAAAAGTTGTTAAGTATAAAATAAAGATCATCAATTTGTGCGCTTATTAAAAATGATGACTATAGCTATCATCTTGAAATGTTATCCACTTGTGATACCTACAGTTCTCTGGCAAACCTAGCTCTAGTCTGATAATCTCCTATTCCGATATTGACCTGTTTATTCGAAACTTATGATCAAAATCTTTTTGATAAAGCAAGCATGTAGCTAATTCAAAACGATATTGTTTTTCAATATAAGATCGTTTGACAAATGTTGTTTCTGAACTTGATGTTCTTGTAGTTGTTATATTCGTTGTTATTGTTGATAAGTGATTAAAAAATTGGCAAAGATCTTCTGCATCTAATTGCTCTTGTTTCGTACCGGAAATTAATAATTTTCATTTTGAAGTTACTGCATATGGCATTAAACAATTTATTTGATAAGCATTTGACCATAATGTATGAAATGTAGTATTTGGAAGAAAGAGATGTTTTGATATAATTGTCCAATGGTTTAATTGATTAGAACAATTTAACATCGATTGTGTCCAAAATTCATGTTCTATTCTAATATGGATCATTGATTGTTTCTTCTAAAATAGGATATTGCTCTAATTTTGTGATATAAGTATTTAAAGTTGATAAAAAAATCTCAATCACTTTCTCCTTCAATAGCTTGTAAAGTTAAAGGTTTCGAGCCTGGTACTTGAAAAAATATTCCTCGTACATTATCATAATTAGCTATCGAGCGATGACATTTATCTAATTCAAGATAATGATCAATTTGTTTGCATAATTGATTATTTAATTCTGGATCTGATTTAAATTTTTTCTTGATTGTTCCTTGTATAAACATCGTTGGTTTGATTGAAAGACAGAAAATTTTCTAATGTTAAAACTGCCATAGATTCTAAATGACTAGCAATTGCACTCCTGTGCTAATGAATTGTGCAAAAATTTTCATTTGTTAGATTTAAAAAGAGTAGTAGTAAATAGCGCAGCGATCAATGGTAAATAGAACATTTCTGATTGTGATAGCATCACATCAAAATCTTGTTCAACCGTTTGAATTAATTCAAAATATTCATCTTCAGATAAATTCTCTTCAAGTGAAGTTAAAATTGAACTAAATAAAGTAAATGAGAAATATAATTTTCATATTGAGAAAGGGCTTGAAGAGAAATGATATCTATCACTAGAGCGCATTTCAATCAGGTAATTCACCAATACAATAGGAACGATATTTTTCGACTTAATTGTCTTGTTTTAATTTAATTTCAGCAAATTGTTTTTCTTCATTTTGTTACAGCAAAATATCCATATACTCTATCAGAATCTTTCACAAAACTTCGCATGCGACGAAAAATATCATTATCCTCTTTCGATTGAATCATTTTTGATAGATTCGACTTTTCTACAAGAATCAAGCTCATAAGATGAGAATGATGTTAAAGTAACAGGGTTAATGTGTTGTTGACTTTTCAAATTCATCTAAATATGATAGTGAAACTGATGGGAAAAAATGAAATTTATGCGATGAAATATTTAAAAATAACCATGTAAAGGAAATGTTTTTCATGTTGTTTATTCACTGATAAATAACAACAACAAAAAGCCCTCAATTGAGACAAGTAAATCACTGCCCACTGATGCTAAATCACCACAGCAAATGCGCATAACATGAGAAACGAGGAACGAAAATTATGTTAAGAGCAAAAAATCTTACTGAAAACAAGTGATCACCAGCGGCTGAGGCTAAATCCCCATATCAGCAGAAGAAATGAACATAACAAAAAATCGAGAACAACAACTACATTAACAAGAAAAAAACTTAATGGAGACAAGTGTATCATCGGCGACTGACTATATCACCAAAAAACAGAACAAATGAGCATAACAAAAAAACATCAACAACAAAGAAAGTTTATGTTGTTGAGAACTATCTATTGTTGTTGTTGTTGTTGTTGTCGAGCTAGACGTCGGGCTTGTTCTAAAATGGCTTAGATGACGACATATATGCAACAGTCATAATCCACTCACGATTTTTTAGTTGGTTAAGAAAAATATTTAATAGAAAGCGGGTTCCAACGTCATCTGCAAGTTGTTTCACTTGCTGATCGTTTAATTGGTTTTCTTCGAGGAGTTGCGTGCGTTCTTCGATAGAGACATTTAAACGTTCAATATCATTTTCATAAGCAATGATCTAAGAAACAAAAGAAATATTTAAAAAAAGAAGCAAAATATGATGTATCATGCAAAAACAGTTAGTAAATATTCATGCAGCAACATTGTCGAGTTTAATTTAATGGAACAATCTGGTATACATGTGTAACGAACAACTTGATTAGAGTAGCTTGTGGCACTCTCGGCAAAGATGTTTATTAGGCTACTTCAAGTTATCCAGAGTGTAACGACAAAACTAGAGAGTGTCGCCTATGCCCGTCGGTATGATTGTGTATTGTGTCATCTGACATCTCCAGAGTGTAACAACTTCATACATGACGCACGTATATATAGGAGAGAGATAGAAGAGAGACAGGAGAGAGATACATTAGAACAATGAAAAGAGAACAGAAAGAGAAGGAAGGAGAATCATCGAAGCGTGCCATCAATATCGGCACAACATGCTATTCGAGTATTTTCTATATCGCGAACTTGTATTAACCAGAACAGAATTGTTTATATACAAGGTGGGCCAAAAGCCACTATAGTAAAAAAAAGCGAACATCTCCACTACGGCTCAAGCAAACAAACTGATTTTTTTATCAATGATAGAGGCATGTTCACGCTATAGATTCATAAAGAAGTGCCTACAGAAATTCTGTGTTAAGTATATTGTTTTATTCATATCTCTGAAGAAGAAAATGTTTTTTGTTCATCTGAATGGTGATACTTAATCAATGGCGGGCCAGCGTCCCAAATATACGTATGGCAATAAACTCTAATGTCTTACTACGAGTTTGAAAAAACGTTTGCAACTTTGCGAAAATACTGCACAACTATTTATATTTATGCTGGAAATGAGACATTTTTTCTTTCTTTTTTCCATTGAAATAAATAAACTAAAACACATCATTTAAGAAAAAGATTTATTTTAAAAAAACCATAGCTGTTTCGTNTTAAAAGTACTTTGTAAAACTATTTTTGACCAGTGGAATATATAAATGTCGAATCTTTCTTAGTATTGAAAAAGGCAATGTCTGACAAACTTTCTTATCCAATACTATTTCTTAGGCAAGTTTTTAATTTTCATATTTTTTGTGGTATGGCAATTGCCACCAATTGCCCTCTGGTGGCCCGCCAATGTACTTAATGAAAGGTCTCTCTAGGCATATTTTATGGATATAAACTTTGAACATGTCTCTCATTAATAAAAAGATGAAGTCATTTGCTTGAGCCGTAATTGAGATATTCGTTTTTTTTCTTCAGTATAGTGACTTTTGACGCATCCTCTATTCTTTGACATATCCTCCACCTTTTTATCCTTTTGAAAGAGAAAAGAAAAAAAAATACAGTCACGGACGAACGTTGTTCGAAGCGTACTTAATTCATTAGGGAAATGGAGAGAAAACACTTGTTCAATATCGCGAAAGGTCATGAGAGAAAATATTTCAACAGATTTTTTTAACAGATTGAATGTTCAAATTAAGTGAATGCATGCCGATTGAATAGAAAAAGAATCATACTCTGTTTTGTCTGAAGAAACGACATAAATAAGCAGACATATATATCAAAGGTACAAATGCTTTATTCGTGGTCGGACTTACAATTGGACGTCAGAAATAGTTGCATTTGGCATATTTTCGATAGACAAACAAAAGTTAAGGTAGCAATCAGAAAATAATCTGAAACGCGAAACAACGAGTAAATAGAGAGATATGAAGTCAAATGCAAGACGAATTATGCACAACAGAAGGGAGATGAGACGAAGACAGGGAATGAGTAGGTTAAAATCAACAAAGAGAAATAACGACCAGTATTTATTTAGTTGGTGATAATAACATCACAAGCAAGAAGAACAGATGAGAAACGAAACTAGATTGAATTGTTTCTAACAAACAATGAAAACGTCGAAGAGTTAGGTGGTGCTATATGATTGTAGTACCTATTGTTCAATCGATTCGTTAACTTTGGGAATTGATGATAACCAACGAAAAACGTTTTTCGAAAAGGGTTTTTTTTCTTGTAATATATGAAATAGAGATCCAATACATTCAAAAATGAATTTTTTACTATTGATTAATAAATAGGTCAATCATTTTTTTTAAATTAATTTTCTGATTTTCTTGGGAATATCTATGATATTAACGTAACATGATGATATTTATAAAGATTAGATGTCGCTAATATATGCTTTCATGCTCAACGTCAGCAGATCTTGAAGAATTTCATTAAATAATATGTATATAGTATGAAGGCTGCAAATCTGTTTCTGAAAATATGTTAAAACGATTCATTCTATGATGTGAACAATGATGCCAGTTCATTCTCAAATGTCGCTTTGACGATAAGCTGAAGAAGTAGCTCTATCGTTATCATCGTTATAAAATGTCGGACATTGCACAGTTACCACCTGAATTAGCCTTACAAATCCTAAAATATTAAAACCCAGGTCGAAATGGTACAGCAAAAAACGGCCAGATATGAGTGTTTTTCCGGTGAAATCATGGAATCAGGATCCCATTAGCAGTTCCCGTGACCGGTTCCAGTTTATTCCTGTTACCTCCGGCAACAGGACAAGATCATCGGATACGGTTGCCGTTTCCAGCACGTTTCCCGACTACGGTTCCCACAGTTTTAGCCCGTAGCAGGATCCCATGACGTTTCCTGCTGTTTCCACGCCGGTTACCTGATCAGGTTCCCGACGGTTTTTTCTCAGATAAAAACCTACCGGATCATTTCGTTTCCATGGTCGGTTATGAAGTTCACATCCGCTCGTTTCGAGACTGGATAATTATTTGTCGGATTATGCCGTTTCCAAGCAAGCCAAAATTATCATATCCATTTGCAGAACGATCAAGTATAAAATTCTCATTTAACCCTTTACGGCCGGATGTTGCCATTTGGCAACATTGTGTCAATATTTTAAGAAAGGTCTAGCTATATTGTGGATAGATAGTGAATCAATAGTTCAATAATTACTACAAGATATTTTAGAACGCACTCATAGTCCATGAAACAAAACAAAACGTTCAGCTGAGAAAATTACGTGAGTCCTTCTGAATACTCCTAAAGAACAACTGAATCATAATAGATGTTCTTATGACACCCTTGATTATTCAATCCCACAGATCACTAGTAGTAAATTTCTCCTCCTTGATCTATTGTATATTGTATCACTCAAAGAGATGATTCAATGAGTACTGACAATAAGAGGTATGGATGTTGCCAAATCTGTGAGGGGTCAAAATTTTTGAAAAATCATTTTTCGTTCTCGACCATCGTTATTCGCTATTTACGTTTTTTCATTTATTCATACAAGAGCAACGCATACAAAACATATCTGGTGCATTTACATAGCTTTTCCTCGTTTGAAATGGAATTTTCTATGAAAAAACGTCAGCATGATAGTATTGTAGCTCTCAATAACTGGTATGGAAATGGATATTTGATTTACGTATCGGCATGGATGTAGAGAAATAAAAGATCTACAAGAATACCTATCCTGATTCCCACCAACGCAAAAAGCCATACAACTACTCTCTCCTTAGGTTCAAATTCAAAGTATCTCAAATTTTTCATACAAGAGTCGATTTGAATCGCGGAGAAACTATGCAGGTATATCGTATATATTTTTTATGCTTCTTCTTAAATAATTAAATGAAAAGGACGCGAAACAGTGAATTTTGATGATCG